AGTTAGATCCCTGAGTCAGAGAACCCAACAGGCGGCTGTCTGTCGAGCAAAATCAATGCGTGCCGGCGACAGAGAACTTCCCCCCCTCCCTCTCGTACTTCTTCCCTCACGACATGCTATCCTCTTCCACCTCTACCCGTGCCGTAACCAACCCTCTTCTCTCGTGTGTCCTCCTCTTGCAGCCTTCCCTCCTCTCTTTCTATCTTTCGTTCGTATCCTGCTGCGAATCTCCGGATATACAAACGCGGTTGGTCATGCTCACCCTCGCTTCAAATCCACCACTACCATTCCCGGCTGCGTTACGGTTCCTGTTCCCTTTCCCATTTCCCGCTTCCCCTTTCTCCTTTCCTCTTTCACCTTCACAAAGACACTGCTAACTCCCCACGGGCTAATAAGCTCTACTATTTTTATCAAGGTTTTCACCTTGAACGAACTTGACGTATCTTTGCATTTATATTGCCTCTCTTAAAACGTGATTAATCGGTAATCCGGTGTTGATTGCGCTCGATTATTTTTCGTATTATTAATATTAAAAAATCGATATTTCGTTAATAATGTTACGAAAATTTCCAATTAATTGTAAAAAAAACGAGATTTCCAATATATTTTTGAAAAATTGCAATGTTTTTCGAAACAAACTTAAAAAGAAAAAAAAGAAATGATCGAATTAGCTTTCTACGCGAATTTTACAGTTAGCTTGCATCGGTAAGCAAAGGAGAGAGCGTAACTAGAATATTACTCGGTATAAAACGAGGTGGCCGCGAGAGGTAGGCAAAGCTACTGCCACGCTAGTGTCGAAATGGTTAATTATTAACACGGGCCGACAGAGGGACCACATGCAATGCGTTAAGAGGGCGCGTGTAGATGCACGGATATATAGCCGCGTGGCATTAACCCGTGACCTATCAAAATGTAAATATCATCTATCAGATTGAAGCGACTTTGTGAAACGTATCTACGCGCATTGAAACTTCGAAGAGTCGAAAACGATTTCTCTTCAATAATTTTTATCTCTCAAAAAGAATATAAAATATCGAAAACATGCAATCATTATCAAAAAAAAAAAAAAAAAGTAGAAAAGTATATGTCGTTTGAAAATAAGGAAAGCGAGATCGTTTAAACCGAGACTTGGCATCGATCTCGTAACAGAGAATGTGCGCCAAAATCGAGCCTTTTGGCTGCACGCCTACCGAGAATACGTGAGCAGCCCCGATGAAACTTCGAGCGACAAGGAGCGAGAAAAGCAGTCGATAACGTTGATATCGATTCCCAAAGGAAGAGGAAAACGAGCTCTTCACCTCTCTCCCTCTGATTGCTTTCCTAGTAAGAGAGCAAAGGAGGGTCGTAAAGGATAGAACTTGACTATACATATACATGTATAGTGCATGTGCATACACATGTATATAAGTATGCTCGTCGCATATACACGAACGTATCCCCTTTTTGTCTTCATGCTTCCTTTCTTTCTCCGTTCTCTCTCTCTCTCTCTCTCTCTCTCTCTCTCTCTCTCTCTCTCTCTCTCTCTCGCTCTCTCGTTTCTATATATAGATAATGTAAGTAGACGATGGCTTGCTTGTACGTTTTACCAGAACGGGGGGAGTTGTGTTGACGAGAAACGACAGGGCTGGTTTCCTAATTCGAATTTAGGTGTTGGGCGGGTTGGCAAGTGGGCGCAATGCGGTGTCACGCTGCAGGCGTTTGCTCTTTCTCTTTCAATCCCTCCTTCTATTCCTCCATCGTACCCTGCTTTCGTTCTCCTCCACTTACCCCCTTTCACGAGCACTACTACCCTGTCTACCAAACCACCGCGTTAAGTCCCTCCAACATCTCCAACCATCTACCTCCTCTAAGCCAGATCGAGCGACCTTAATCGACCTTCTGATCTTAGTGATTGCGATTTGTTTAAAATGTAATTTTCTTTCCAACTTTCAACCTTCAAGTCAAAATTGTAACTTTTTTTATTGTCGTATTTTATCAGTAATTTTGAAGCAAATAATTGGTATTGTTTTGTTTGCAATAATTATTGCAAATTATAGGTGTAATTATACAAATTATATGTATTTTTTCTTCGAGACTTAAATGCGCAGTTTAAACTATAATTATCGCATTTGTTGGAGCAATTGTAATTTAATAAAATAATAATATATAGAAAGATTATTTCGATGATAATCGTATCTTTGAAAATAGAAATCGTTTCAAGGTTCGCCTCAAATATACGTTTACGACTTCTAAATACCAAGCATGCGCAATGTGTTATACGATCACGGCGCAAACTCGGAGAAACTTACCTTTTGATACGAGAGCGCATACATGTTTGGTAAGTCAGAACGATAAAAAGAAAAGAAAACAGAAATGTTATGGACTAACATCAGCAAGAGAATTCTTGAGAATTCTTGAGAAATATGCGCACTGTGAACGTTTTTAGAACGTTTTAGAAATCTATTCGAATCATATCGAAAAAAAACACCAACATATTCCGTCTTTCTTTTTTTTATGATATCCGGAATGTATAAATTATTATATCTTGATAACATTCATAAATATAATATATATTATATATAATTATTCAGTGAAGCAATATCGGTCAACAAAAACTATATAATCTAACAGTAATAAGAATAATTAGAAAAATGAAAGAAAAAAAAAAAAAAAAAAAAAAAAAAAAAAAAAAAAAGAACATACGCACACACAAGACCTAACGTACTCGACTTAGATAACTTGAAAAAAGTAAACGTTTATGAATGAGATAATGTTCAAATATAAACCGATAACCTAAGCGGGTCTGGCAAATGTTTGACCACATAACACGTTATCTAAAACACTTGTATGCATGATTATTTTATACATGTACAGGTATACATACGTAGAGTCATAAATGAAAGAAAGAAGATTCCGTAAATAAGTATCTTGAATGTACACATTGAATTAAAATAAAACGCAAAATTTATATTTTATATTTTTCGATTCAAAACATCTTTCCACTTACCTTGTTCTTTTTCTGGAACCTTTGCCGGAACTTTTTTATCCGGTGCCTTCGGGGAACAGTTTTTTCGTGCAGGTTTAACCGTTAAAGTCGATGGAACCTACGAAAAATATAATTAATGTATATTAATAAATCGTTCTCGTTATAACTCGTATAAATTGTAATTATTGAAAAAAATGACTTACCACCTTCTCAGACCTTTCTCCAGATGGCAATCTCGCGACAGCCGCATCAGGACTATCCTCTGGTGGCGGAGGTTGCACTATCCAATTATATTCGCGTTTTTCAACGGGCAAGCCCCATCGTTCGTATTCAAGGCTTTGAGTGCGCAATGTTTCGTAACAATCCAAACAGACCACTGCGAAATCACCGTTTTCCAATAAAAGGCTCTTTTCAGGCTGTCTGTGATACCTCAAGAAGGGAAAATCCTTTACGAGCAGTGCTCTGACTCGCTTTCTGTACGTTGTGATACCACAAACGTAACAGCAATAATCATGCGTATTATATTGCCTCTCTGCAGCGTTTACTTGTTGACCACTGGGAAGAGATTCGTATCGACGCCATTGCGCCAACAAAGAATGGTAACAGAATGTGCATACTAACGCTGAACCATCTTCCCTAAGTTGTTCAGCGTTTGGCGGAGACTGATGGCGCAGTAATTCAGGGAAAAACGGTGCATTACGGCCCTGAGGGCGACCATACAACACTCTTGCGAGAGTCAAATCACTATGCAAGCCACATAAGAAACAATATATAGAACTGCTCGATGTGCCTGGGTTACTACCAAACGTTCGATCTGAATTAGAACTCGGTGGGGTGGCGATTGATCGATTCACATCGCCATTTGGATGTGGACTAGGAATATCATACCTAAGAGAAGATGATAAAAAAAAAAAAGAAAGAAAGAAAAAAAATAGAGTCTTTTTCACTCGCATATAAGGTGAATGCCATGAAAAATTTATAATCAAAATCATATATCAACTGACCTGCGATGTTCTAAAGGAACTCGTTCAGCATCCATGCTTTCCCACTGTTGGGCAAGATGATTCACGCAATGACTACAAGCTAACACTCTGCCATGACTATCCATGCAAGCATTTTCTGATGTACGTGCCATTCCACGTAAACATGGAAAATGCATAGCATGTGAATTCATTCCCTCTGGACTTGTGGATAACCTTCCGGTTAAAAAGGAAAAGAAAAAAAAAAAAAAAAAAAAAAAAAAAAAAGAAAAAAAAAGATAATTAATGCTCAATAAACGTAAACATATATAGCAAAGAATAAGAAAAAAATATGAAAATAGTACCATTCCATGTGAGAGCGAGGATACAATCTCTCACAAATATAGCACCTATAATTTTGGCCAAGAGCAACCGTTCCATTCTCGGCAGGACCGTTGTTAGGAGAGTTTCGTTGTCCTGGAGTGGATCCTTTTATGGTTGCGCTGCGTTGCTTATTCGTAGCAACGCTAGATTTGTTCAAATCGTATGGTTTGAAACGAATATCACTACCAGCAGAATTAGCTGGAGATTTTGCCACTGCGGGTCTTGGAGAGGGACCTTGTTGACGAAAATCTACGTTCTGCCCAGACGGTTGAGCCTCGTGATTTTCTCCACCAAATACTTGCTGTTTTTGTGGTATAGCTTTGTAACAAATGGAGCAAACTTGCACCATTCCCTGAGGACTAATAGGACTAGCTCCTGGTGGAGGTCTCAGAGAATAAATAAAAGGGTAGTACGCCTCCTTCTCGGGATTAGGACAGCAATAAAGAAGTCTAATACTGGACGAAGGGTACTCAAGCGCACAAGTATAACAAATAAAAGTAGTTGTATCCATAGCAGGTGCTTGTCGTTTACGAAGCGTGTAATTTCGATCACCATGCGGGACTCCTTGCCGGGTATACGCCTTCCATTGCAGCAGAAGGTGATTTTGACATGCTGAACAAGCCTGAAAATCAACAACAAATTTTTATATACAGAAGTAAGAAAAATAATGTTTTAGGAAAATATAATAAGTAAAATCAATATAAGGAAAATAAGCATACTTGGACACGACCGGCGCTATCCATTGGTCGACTTCTGCTTGGTCTTGGATGAAGCATTAGCGAAGGAAAAAATGGCGGGGGACTAGCAGAAGGATGTGGTGGGATTGGCAGTGGTTTTGCTGCAATATGACTAAGTGACCCTCTTTTGAATTCGTCTCCGCACACATAACAAACTTCCGTAACTGAATTTTTGTCTGGCATCGAAAGATCTAAAATATCTGTGCCGGTACTCGACGTTGATCCACCGCTATAAATGGCTATAAATAATTATTACATATTTTACAATAATGCATTTAATATATATGCGTTATAAACGGATTGCACTTTTACGGATAATCTCAGATAATATTTATTATGTTGTTTTATTTTCAATACAAAATTTAGAATCAATTTCATATTTCATAATCATTATTTAAATAGATCAATTATTAATTGGAAGAATTACTAGTTGAATTATTTAATTTTGAAATATAGTTTATTCGATGATATAAAAGGGGAGAAATTTAAAGACGATATAGAATATTGGACAGTTTTTTTATTCCATTATTAATTTTTCATTTTATCTGAGTGAAATTGAACAACGTATGTATGAACTTACGTTGAGGTTGTGGTGGCAAAGTTGGTTGTGGCGCAGGTGAACTCCTCGGTGCATGTCTCAAATCTAACGCCGCCTCGTTTGATATTCTTGAATCTTCCACAGGCTGTCGAGGACTTTGTAACCTTTGATGCGGCGATTGCAGTCTTTGATGGGGAGATTCCATTGTAAGCCTTGCTTGTTCCAAATGTCTGTGCGTTTCAGCCGTGTTAGAATGTGGCCTTGGCAGCTCAATGGAATTCGATGGTGGTCTTGTCTGTTCCACTCTAGGCGATGGTGAATTTAGCGGAAGTCGCGGAGAAATTCCAATCGGTCGATTTTCAGGTCTGAGCTGCGGGGTTTGGTCATTGGTCAATCCCAGAACTTGAGCCGCATATTCTCCCTGAAGAGCCATCTCAGCTCCCGTAAAAGGCCCTCCATCGCATCGTTTCAACCAATAAATTCGTTGACTATGAGGTCTAGCATCTTGTTCATAACTCTCCCATTGTTGCAACAGCAAGGCATAACAAAGACTGCATGCCTTAACTGTTCCACTTCTAGCTCCTTCCCCACGATATCCAGCAGGTGGTTCATGGGATTCAAGAAATGGAAAGTAAGGTTCATTTGGTGCACCGCCTGGACTTGGCTTTACTCTAAGCCAATACTGTTCTCCGTGACCTATTGTACCACAAACAAAACAAACCCTAGCTCCACTAGTATCCTCTGAAGATGGGTTTGGTTGTTGATTTGTAAGTGATTGCCCGTCCAGTCCCGGCTCATTTTTCACATATAATTTACTTTCCATTATGTCAGGAAACCATTGGATTTTTTCAATGCCCTTTTATGTATTTTTGTTTGGCACACATATACGATCACAAGTTACAACGGTTGATAAAATGTTTGAATTTTGCATATATCTGAAAAATTAAAAGTAATCCATTAGTTATAAGTTTTATCGGTATTATACAATTATACAATAAAAATGTAATAGCAATGATTCATATACATATATACGATTGATGCCTCATATGAAATATGGAGGATAAGGATTATGAAAGGATGCAAAGAATATATTTTAAAATGTTTGAAGAACTTTATTGTATGCTAATGAGTTTATTTGATACATCTGTAACCTCATTCTTTACTTGTGCAGGAAAAAATGTAATTGTAAAAAGTATGAAAATAAATTTATTTAATTATATAATATCTATTAATAACTTGTCAGATCAATAAATTGTCATAAAAATACAATTTTTTTATTTTAAAAAATATTATTCATTTTATGATTAAATCTGATTTAAATTTAAATTAATTTTTCATTAAGACTTACAATCTCTTCTTTTAACCGTACCATCACGAATATTTAAAATATTATAGATAAACAAAAATAATTGAAATATACGGATTGAAAAATATTATGAAATACTACGATATATTTTTAGTCTATCAATAAATTAAATTATAGTATCGAAATAATATTTTTGTAAAATCAAATTATTTCAAATAATAAATACAACGTATTGTTACCCGTAGTACACTCTTATCGTTAGTGAAGCATTGCAACGCGCGATGCTTTTAGAATACCGTAACATGTGGTATTTTTGGAGCGTTGCTACATCGACGTTTACCGACACCGACCATAAAACAGTTTTTCGGATATCGGTAATAGCAGAAAAATTGGCGAAAAACCGTTTCATTTGACGTATTCATAATGATTTCGTGTGGAATATAATTTGAGCACAGGTAAAGATGAAACATGAGCAAAGCTCAAAGGTAAGCATTATCGAACAAATCGATCGGATTATGCATTTTTCAATGATGAGAATACAGTTACTAGTAAAAAATAAAGAATCGCTTCTTAATTTTATAGAACACTTTTCTATTTTTTTTGTAAAAAGGATGGAAATAACATACTGATCAAAAATATTTAATGCAATGGTGGCATACTCAATAGAACCGAGTTGTACATTAAAGTTTTCGTGATTGAAATTTAGTTTAATATTACAATATAAAATTAAAATAATTTATAAGGAAACTACGAGAATATTTACAGTAAAATCATGGGAAGAAATATAGAAAAGGGATATTGGAAAGGGATCGTAGACAAGGCATCCGTACACTCTCCTCGCTACCGAAATACGCACCCACAGGCACTTTCGTATGCACACTTTATGTTTTATATAGAACACTCACGTTTTCACAGTTCGGGATGGGTAACCACCACATCGCTACTTTTTGGTGGTAATTTTGATTTGCGATACGTATATTACTTAGGCGAAGCAGAGCTTCCTTATCTCGGATTCTAGTCTCTGCCATACGTGGTCGAGCACCACACCGAGTTGCGGGGTGTCACCTTCGAAATAACGTTGTGCTTCGTTACACTCATATTTACATGCACAGTGTATCGTCTAACGCGACCCGAATCCGTATTACACTGTCGCATACATAAAGAGTATAATAAAAGACGTTGCGCGACTATGAAAAATACATTTTCTGATGGCACAGCACCGCGACTTTGGCTCAATTCACCGCCATATTGCAAAATTGCGATCTGCTTCCCATGATGCCACGCAGCTTCGTCATATGACAATGCCGCTGCGTCAACCAATCATAATCTAAAACGCATGCGCAGATATAACAACTTCTAATTCAACTGCCGCTCGGTATAATTTGGCGCCAAATTTAAAATTTTTTCATTAAACCATGTTAATTTCTATCATTAACATCTACTATTTGTTATTTATTTTATTTTTCTTTTTCATAACTATTATATAAAAAATTTTGGAATATAAATTTAATTAATACCTATTAAATTTAAATTCTGATATAAGTGACTTCTTAAATATCAATATAAATTCAAAATATCATAGAATTCTATAAATTGTTCAAACTGATTAAAGTATTTTAAAATATAAAATAAAATAAGTTTGAATAATTAAAAAATTAAATTATTAATAAAATAACCAACAAATAATAAATATATTAATATATTCTTTTAATTATATAACGTTTATGTCATTGTAGATTTTTGTTTTTAATTCTAAAAACTTTTAATTTTAAACTTTTGATTTATTTACGTCGTAAGATTAAAACTATTAATCATATCAACATAATTATCAAAATAAAAAGTAAGGAAGTAAAAGATCAATTTAATCTTGCAAGCGATATATATGTTGAACTTTCCATTTAACATAATTCGCTAAAAATAATAAAAATATTGAGTAAATAATCAACTTAATAGCTAACATATTGTATTTATCATGTTATATTTATTTACATATTGATACTATCAAAGTAATTTCGATGTAATATGAAAGCAATATTTTCATTTGCATTTTTTGAGAATTGGGAACAGGCATGGAGTAAAAGGCATACAACAATTGATATTTTATAGTATTTAATCAACAGGTTAGGACATTGTATCTTTATAATGCTAAAAATTAGTTTTTATAGAGTGTATTGATTTCTCATATGTGTACACCACTATTAAAGTGGAATCCTGATAATACTAAAATAATTGGAAATACTTTAAAAATACTCTTTGCAAATGATAATTCTTAGAAATTCATTCTCTCCGATATATCTTTCATTCCTATTATCCAGATCTAACAACTACTTGATTTTTAATTTTTTCGCATTTATACAGAGAGTTAATCACAAATATTTGTTTTTATTATTATAACGGTGCTATCCTTATAATTATTATTAAACTTACAAATATCGAATAAACGTATCGAATAGCGGTGGTACAAATTTTTATACTGAAAACCATAGATTATCAATTATATTTATTGTATTTATAAAATTCTTTTTCATAGGTTTGCTTTCCATATTTTAGTGCGTAATTGTCAATAGTATGATTTAGAAATGATTTAGAAAATTTTGAAAAAAAAAAGTATTTTTATTTCTGCCTATGATGTAAAAATATATCATACGATATTGCACCAATATACTATCTCAATTTTGAATTTAATATTGAATTTAATCTTGATATTTTGAGTTTAATCTATTACATTTGCGTTTTTATAGAATTCTTTGAATCGATATTTGACTTAGAGCAGCGTAATCACCATTTTCTTAACAACAATATACAAAAATACTAGAAGAAATTAAATGAAATTTAATAATAGATTAGAGATATAAAGTGCTAAAAATGTCAAGAAAAGAGGGGATTACGTTACGACTACACGTTACCTTATACTATTATCTTTTTTTCTTATAAATAATTATAAACTAGATCTGTTTTGCATTGATGAATGACTATAATAATTTCTTTGTCTTTCATTCTCCCTAATATTCTTCATTTCAACATACATCCAAAACTCATGAAATGCTATTTATAAATGTTAGTTAAGCATCCTTGATACGCCGAGTTTTCGATGATGGTAACGATAAAAGGGTTGAGAAAGAAGAATGAATTATCTTGTCAAAAGGTAATATAAATAATACAATAATATTTTCATTCTTTTTTCTTTCGATACGGAAACAGCCTTTTTTCATGTACTCCTTTGGAAACGAACTATCATCGATAACATGTTAATTATCTCTTGCATGTAAAATACATCGATTAATATGTATATATATATACATATATATGTAAATGTATATATAAATACATATTATACAATATATATAAATATGTATTTCTTTAATTACGTCTCTCTTACTTAAAACATGATTTGCACTGAGTTTGATAAATCAGATTTGACATTTGGTGAGCTCGTGACCTTTAGTCGCTTGACCCTATCGTGGGTTATCTCATTTCTTATGTACATATAAACAGATATTACCGTAACAAGTTTTCCTTCTTGTACAAGATGCTTCAGAAAAGGAACGATTTTTAATACGTTATCCGTTGTAGTTGATTCATCGAAGTACATAACTATAAATATATTATTAGTAAGAACATAATTGTAAAAATATTAATTTTTTTTATTTATAAACAATTCTTCATTTCAATAAACAAAACTTCATTGCACTATGGAGTAAAGGGTGTAACGTCAAACGATTTGAGATTCAAGTTCCTTTTAAATGAAACATCCTCTATAAAAAGAAATATTATAGCAGTCGTTTTGTAAACGATTCTGCATATGCATAATGAATAACGTACATTATATTAAAAATACAGTCACGTTAGGGTCACTGGTTTTAATAAAAAAATCTTCACCCCAATGCCCCGACGTTATATCTAAGTGAAAGTTTAAACATACAAGAAAAAAAGAATATACATTAACTACATCTAAGAGGAACAAAAGTATCAAGAAGTATCGTAAACAACTGTTAATTAAAAGGAAAAAAAAGTTGGTCCGATTGTCATTAAAAAGAAATCTATATACGGTGCATTAAATTTTTCAATAAAATGAATTGTACTACTTTTTCTTGAAAATAACAGCAGCATTGTTTTTCAAAGATCAATGCTGCTAATAGCACTTTTCGGTCGCACAATTAAAAAATAGTATCGATAATCGTTGTTATTCAATTAAGAAGTATCAATAACATTATTATTAACATTTTAATATTGTTATAAATAGTTGGATAAATGTCTAAACGATAATATAATAGGATTCCATTTATTTTTATTTGTGAATTCCTGCCTGATTGAATTCACTTACTTGAATATGAAAAATTCTATCATTTTTATCATATTTAAATCTCGTTTTTTAATTTAAATTCTACTTACACGAACTGTTTATCCTAAATATATTCAAATAAATGGAATCCTATTAATATAATTTCATGAACATTATCAACGAACTCGCGTTTCTTCATCACAGTTTTAACGAATTATTTAAATTTTTATAATATTAAAAAAGCAATAAGCAAAGAAAAGGAAAAAATTCAATAATAGAATAAGAAGAATGAATGATTCTTTCATTGCTGCGGAAATGCGTAACATTTCACAATGTCCGGAAAATAATGATTTTTTTTTTCTTTTTTTTTCAGTATAGATAACAATAACTCAAAATAGAGCAAGAAAATGATTATTTGATGTTTCCAACACGCTTTGAAAAGAAAAATAATTCAATCTTCTCAGTTAACGTAGATTAAAAGAAGAGAAGAATAACAAATTTAAAAGACAAATAATAAAAATAATTATATATAGATAGCAAAAGAGGTAGAGAAAGTATACAAGAGTAAAACTCAATGCAATGTTTTCGCAACCTGACAAGCGAAAATTTTAAAGAAGAACTTTTGAAAAGTATCGAATTTGGTATGGCGACGCTCTCAAATATCATTACTGTTTACCACCATCGAGCTTTCAGTTGCCAAAATTCTCTTTTGAATCTCCTCCGCAGAAGAGTTACTGTAACTAGGCTCGATGGATTCCGAGAGCAATTTTGGATTGTGCTTATCGACGTGGGTTAACTCGATCGGAAGATATATCGTCCGACAATGGTCGATATCAGCTCGACAAAGGGGACAACGTTCGCACCGTCTGGCGCAATCCAAACACGCGACCGCGTGCCCGCACGGAAACAAGGCGGTGTCGAAACTGCGATCCATGCAAATGCGGCATAGCATCGCGTCCAATAATTTTGCTAGACATTCTCGAGATTCCTGCAAATTGAACGATATTAAAAAAATTATTCCTCCTTTTTTCTTTAATTGATCGCTCTTCGATACCTTGCATTTGGGCTCCTCGCAATCCCCGCAATCGTGTTTCTCCAAAATTTCCTTCTCCTCTGGCAAAGTAACGGTCGCAGCCTCGCAGTATAAAGCTCGTCGCGCGTTGTCGTACACCTCTCGGCACGTTCTACGGATATCGAACACGTATTTCTTTCCTAACGTCGAATCCTCGTTGAATATCGAGATTATAGTGCCCTGCGAAGAACGAAGCAATTAATCGAAACGAATTTTCTTTCATTTCTTTTATCACATTTTCCTCGATACAGCCAATCGTCCAAGGGGATACCTTCAAGTCGCGTATAAATTGGGCGGTAACCGCGCTCCTCACTGTTTCGCAACTGTAGAACGCATGCTTCTCGGTGATCGCGCGATACAATCCGCTGGCGGATTGACTCGAATCTAATTTGAAATTTAACGATGTCTCCTCGCCATCGAGGGAAAGATAAACCAAATGGAACATTCGACGTTGGGACGTTGCACTCTGTATCGCTGTGTACGGTATGCTGTAAAACATAAAGAAAAAGACATTGTTACGTGGTTGTAAAAAGTCGATAACCACCGAGAGCGCAAATAAAGCGCAGATAGCTTAAGGTGATAGAGATTCTTGGGTGGCCGTTCTCTTTATCGAGAATGGCAAATACACACGATTCGAATAATTCCCAACGTGTTTATCCGATTCACCCAATTTCTTACCGATCAAGAATCAAGTTAGCCAAGAACGGGAACAGCTCGTTTTAATCGTACGTTTATTATCGAGCAATCGTTGTACGTACTTTTGCGTTTCTTCGTCTCGATTACGATAAACCGTGATACCATGCGGCCCGACTCCGATCATCGACACCCCGTTGTACCCAAATTTAGTGTTGTGAAACATCTCCTGGCCGAACGTATCCAAATTAGATACCTCTTTTAACAGCCAATATTCCGCCGTGGAAGGTTTCATTCCCTTAACAGAGAAAGGAAAATGAATAAAATAAGTGAATTTATCGCGTCTTATAATTATATTTTTATAACCGTGTGTTCAAAGGTTGGAAAGGAAGAAAATGATCGAGGCGAGTCACCTTCATTTCTTTGTGTTGTTGTACTATCCGGTGAATAAGATCCTGCGGTTTCGATTCGCACCGTTCCACAGGTTGAATTTGACAGCATTGCGAGTACAGCGCGTTCGGTGGCGAAAGTGGATCATAATCACCGATATCAGCTTGCGCTATCCAAGCAACCAAACGCACCACCGAACTCCAATCCGCCACTTTTAGCCTACCTTCGAGGAGCTCGAGGCGAGAGTGCAAGTAGAATTGATGCCTGCAATCAAACAAGTGTATCGATTGGTTAATCGATAGAAGAAGAAAACAAAAAAATAAATAAATATACAAATAAACGTATTTCGAATTAATTTGTATCGAATTCGTTTCCACGATACGATAACGAATCGAACATCATCAGAGAAACTGGATCGATGCGATACGCGGTTCGCAACATTTCCTTCGAATTTAACGGTTGATCGAAATTGACACAGAGTTTCGATGAATTTAGCCAAATTCAAACCGCACGGTTGAAGGGTAAACTTCGATACGAATGTTCCTCGCGTTTGCCAATGAAGTTACCTCGATTGCAAATGAACGACTAAACACGATTGAATTACTCGGCAAAATGTACTCTATCGTGGAAGGAAATGTATAAAGATATACGTATAATGTCGTGACATATAGTGCATCGTCTCGATTTTGAAGCATCGTTCTCCTGTGAAGTTTGCCGTCATTCGAAAAGTTCCACGTGACGCATGGCACACGTATCGACCGAGTCGATACAATCGGCAGATGTTTATTATCGAGATCGAGTTATCGGTTTAAATCGAACTTACGCACTGGGAAGGGATCATTTGTCAAATCGAATTCAAACAATCTATTCTTGTAAATTAGTGAAATGGATTTGGTTAAGTCTTCGATTAAATTGGCCGAGTCAAATATCGCGAGATTATGCGATCGTTGAAAGTATAAATTTACATATATCGAGAATAATGTTCGCTGTTTAACGCTACATGAATGCTCTAACAGTTTGGATTTCGATACGATTTCGATAAATATACCGAATATTGAACATTTTGATATTGATCATCGATAAATAAATTTTCGACGAATTAATTATTAGAAAATTCGTTGACGAAGTTGTATTAGAGAATATGCTCGTATTTTCGTCTAAGCGATAATCGTCTTGTACAATTGAACATCTGTTATAGCATTATTATCTCTTTTGATACGTTCTTCTTTAGAACTTGCAACAATATTGAAATTATTCTATTCAAAATACATATTAAAATTAAGATCATATTATTCGAAAGGTCAAAAGATCAAGGTCACTTGTGAGTCATTTGAAAGTCACGTGGAAAGTAAAATTTTTTGAAGTAAAAAGTTAACATCGTTTAGAGGTTATTCGAAAGTTATTTTACGTACACACAGCCGATCGATATTTCGGGATATTATGCGAGAAGAGAGTGGAGAAAATAATAATATTACTTAAATTTAATTTTTGGATGTGGTTATAACGATCAATCATGGAATTCGATTTATTATTGATATCATTTAATTCGGAAATTCTGAATGCTTTAATTTTAACGTAAAATTCGCGAAATTCTTGATTCAACTCTTACCATATCCCGTTATCTTTTATTTCGTCCTCGATTTATAATTGTTATTGCAATTATTTTTCCGTTATTCATTTTTTAAGAATATTATTTACAATAATAGAAGAAAAGAAAGAAAATCGAATTATGATAAAGAATCGTAATCGTAAAAGTTTTTGTTTTCAATTTACAACTAAAGATGTCTCGCTTACACTTCTCTTATCGACCTTCATATCGGTTCTTAGCGTCATCTCGAGGCGTAAATTTTTACTTTATACTTCAGACAAATTTCTCTTGTGTTATTTTTCTTCGATGGACGAGTCGCTCGATATAAATTTTCTTTCGTTATTGTTTCATCGATTGTAAATAATTAGAAATATCGAAATTACACGTATCTAAATTCTTTTCTTTTTATAATTATTTCATATTATTATTTTATATATATATATACGCAATTTATTAACTCGTGAACTAAATTTTATTTGCCATTATATCTCTGGTGCTAATAAACGAATCAACAAATAATAAGATAACGAGACGAGATAAGGTTTCCGCCTTTTTTTCTTTACAAGTTCGCCAAGCAAGACGCGTTCTCTTATTTCTTACAGTGAAATACGGCAAAAAAGAAAGGAAATGTTTAAGACGTCGTTTGTTAAAAGTTGAACTGCGCAAAAACTTTATACACTTAGAAACGAGATACACGAATAAACTAACCAACCGCTTAACCCCCGGACATTGACTCTCGAGAATGGCAAACAGCTTCTGGGTATTTAAAAATATTTAGAGAGCTCGAAGCAAACTGAAGCGTGCAACGAGTAGTTTAATATCAAAACTTCCCCCTTCGGGGGATACCTGAAAAATATACAGAGAAGTTTAATGGATTCGTAATCATTCTTAACGTGAATTTTCGCGCTTCGCATCGAATTATAATCTCGTAACTTCCGTTTCGATAATTTTTTAATAGATAGAATTTTTTAAAAAAATAAACAAAAAAAATATTACGAAGTTACAACGATAAAACGTTCCATTACTTTACGTTTGGCAAGTTTATCGCCTCGGCCAAGGCGATAAAACGTAAAAATTTGTATCCATTTATCAAAAATATTTTCGTATTTTGTTAAATTTCATAAATGAGAGTGAATGAGTATTCCACGTTTCGATATCTATTGTTCGAAGCGCTAAGTTATCGCCAAACTTTGCACCAATGCCACTTTTACAAGTATTCCACTCCATTTCCCAGTATTGTTGGCAGATTTACAACTTTGCCACCATCGCGTGAAATCTTTTCCACGAGTCTATCTCGTCCGACAGTGTCTGGAAAACGACTATTAACAACCATTTATCGCGATTGAATAAATTAAATAAATTACTTGTACTTCCAGAACAAAAGTGGAACACAAAGTTTCTACCTGTGCACACCGTTCGTTCCTTGCTTTCATTTTCTAACGATTTTCGATCAGATGACAGCAGATAGGCGATTAATTACGCGTTTAGATTTTACTTGCAAAATCTAGCTTTCTCGAAGTTATCTCTGACCGAGTTTCAAGCAGAGACCATTGAAACGTCTGAATGTGAAAATACCAGCCAGTTCGTGCAACCTGGCTACACATACTCGCGGCTTTCGAACTTACTCTCCCTTAAGGTTAGTTCTCCAGAATTTAGACCAGTGTTACCTTAGAGAACCTTAGTCAAGATTCACCGACCCTTTATTCCATTATTCCGAATATAACTATTACGGTCAAACTTCTGCAAATCGAACTATGCGCGGAGTGTGTTAATACGTTTTCTCAGATCTGTTCGAGTTCTGAGGAGATTCGATTCCATAATTATGAAAGAAAATATTGGTGTACAGAAATGTCGGTCAAGGCTTATTTATTAATTAAGTTATCGCTTCGTTTATGTTTGGTTATGTTTGATACCGCCATTGTTCCTCTACTCGTTTCATCACAATGTTTCAATTTAAATTGCTAATAACTTGATAAATGAGCCTACGCTATTTATATATATCAACTTTTACGTTTGTTTTAACGTGATAATTTAAAAATTTTGTTTTCAAAAAACAGACGCGTTTCTTTTATTATTAATGATCTGATGTATTTATTATTAATGATTTAGTTTAGTTTATTTATTTTGTTTGTCGATCAACGAAGCAAAAGTGACGAAATCTATTTATGGACAGTCCACTTGTTTCGACGTTATAAATTTCAATTAGTCGACACGCGTGCACGACATTTCGCAATTTCAGCATTTAGGAAAAACGACGAATGCTGGCCGTGCAAAGTTAGATTGCTCTCGAAGAAAGGGACGATTCGCAAACGAGCGAAATTATATCGTGCAACTCTAACTAATCCTTTAACTTCTTACATCCTTTTTATTATTTTTACTTATTGCATAAGTAAATACGTTAATAATAATCATAGAACGAGAGGACAATAGACATTAATAAGATATGAAAATTTCTAGTGGAATGAAATTGAGATCCACGAGATTGTTAATGAACGAATTTTAACGAATTTATTCTTTCTTTACCATTTCATAAGTTTATTTTTTAATTATTTTTCGAACGAGGACAATACTTATTAATAACAAGATATGGAAAGTTGAAAACTTCTATTGAACTTTTTTACTCCATCCATTTCTTTTTTATTTGTTTTTTTTACTGTTTTATAACTAGTTTTATAACTAAGCATACTTTGTTAATAAATTTTTACCATCGAATGGAGACAATACATTAATAAGACAATAATAAGATATAATAATAATATATGAAATTGTTAATAAGATATGAAATTGGAATGGAGACAATAGGTTAATAAGATATGAAAATTTCTATTGGAATGTATTCTTTCTTTACTATTTCATACCCTTCATATAATTTCATATACTTTTTATTAATATATTATTATCATTGAATGAAGACAATAGATTAATTAATGAGATTTTAAAATTTCCACTAAAATGGATTTAAGATTGATATAATATGAATAAAAATTTCTACTGGAATGACTCCTTTCTTTACTAGTTTATAATATAATTAATACATTTATTAATATATTTTTATCATTGAATGAAGACAATAGGCATTGATAAGATATGAAAATTTTTATTGAAACGTATTTGTTCTTCATTATTTTATTATTAACATAAGTTTTTATTAATCTATTTATATGATCAAATGAAAGTAATAGATTAATTGTTGAATAAGATATGAAAAATTGAAAATTTCCATTAAAATGGATTTAAGATTATAAATGATTTAAGATTGATATAATATGAATAAGATATGAAAATTTCTACTGGAATTAATTCTTTCTTTATTATTTTATAACATAACTATACTTTTTATTAATATATTTTTATCATTGAATGAAGACAATAGATTAATTAATAAGATTTGAAAATTTCTACTAGAATGGATTTAAGATTGATATAATATGAATAAAAATTTCTACTGAAATGACTCCTTTCTTTAGTAGTTTATAACATAAATATACTTTTTATTAATATATTTTTATCGTTGAATGAAGATAATAGACATTGATAAGATATGAAAATTTTTACTAAAACGTATTTGTTCTTCATTATTTTATTATTAACATAAGTTTTTATTAATCTATTTATATTATCAAATTGATTAGTAAAAATTAGTAAAAATTGAAAATTTCTACTAAAATGGACTTATGTTTGAAACAAATCTCTAATCTATCCATTTTTATCACTGAACGAGGATAATAAATATTAATAAAATATGAAAATTTCTACTGAAATAGATTTAAGATTGAAACGAATCAACTCTAACGAATCTATTAATTTTCTTAATTCTTTCTATAATACTATCTCATAACGTAAATATACTTTGTTAATATATTTTTTTATCGAAAGAGTATAATATGAAAATTTCTATTGAAATGAATTTGGGATTGAAACGAATTCTTCCTTACATTCTTTCTACCACCTACACAATTTTTTAAATACACTTTGTCAACACATTTTTATTCATAAACGTACGGGCACGATAAACGCCTTAATAAGATATGAAAATTTCTATTGGAATCGATTTACGAGATTCTTTACGAGATCACAAATGAACTTCAACGAAAGTATACATTTTTTTTTTCTTTTTTTTAAATACATTTTTATCATCGAATACAATACGGTGTTAATAAGATGTGAAAAGTTGAAAATCCCGTGGTGGAAACGGATTTACGAGGTTGAAACGAAACTATTGTTTCTGCGATATTCAATATCGGAGAACGAGGCTGTCACGCGTACCTACGTACATGGAAAACTCGCTACATTTCCTGACAATAGCATTGTAACAAGTTTGATTTATACAACCCGAGCAAGCGCCAAATCTAAACTCCCCCCCCCCTCACCTCCCCCCATTCCATTTTGCTCCAGCTA